TATGTCACCACCAACCGAGGCAGGTTTCCCAGAACTTATCAAAATAGATGAAAATGTCAAGCAAACGAAACCTCTAGGTTCTCAGTACAGCGAGAAACTGAAAGGAAGAATCAGACCCCCTCCGAAAGTTCCCAGCGAAGCCTTTGAATGTAAAGTAATGTAAAAGTAAGCAGCTTCTTGAAGACCATAATTTCCCAGATAGAAAAGATCAGAGCTGCAAAATCCACAGCTGAGAAACTAATTGCAGGTTTCAACGCGGCCATGCTAATGATGAAAATTGCCGAATCTAATGTGTAAGAAGTTGCTGATCGACCTCAGGTCTCGGAGCCTGCTTGATTGAGATTTTAATCTACTCCCTTCACGCATGAACTCTTTCGAACTATGGCTTTTTCACCCCACTTAGCTACTTTCCCAGGCATCGATGATGGCTTCGGTCAACACCTTTTTCGTCCTCGTGGCGGCGTGTTTCTCTAAAAAACGTGTTTCTCTCGTGTTCTCACGTGTTTCTCTAAAAAACGTGAGATTCCACTGGGCAAATTTGATCTATTAGTCAATACTCTTTCTGAGGTAGGTACTATTAGTGAAATTGACGATTCCGATGCAGGAAATATGAAAAATATACAGTGCCCTCAACAGGATTCAAGCACCGGATCTCCCGATTACGATTCGGATGTGCTTCCAATTACACTACGAAGGCATGCGAAAAAAAGAGAGGAAATACATTATAACTTTTAAGATCTTTGGTTGCTATTTGTTGTTTGCATCTGCCACCACAAAGGACATAGGACATAACGCAGTGATACAAATTTGCGCAGGAGACAAATATAACAACTGTTTGAAAATAATTATCTTTTTATCCTAAATAATAGCAAAGATAAGCAGTTTCCTCAGCCGACAATAATGATTCTGTATCTGTATCTAACCACGTGTTCACTGTGTTTTTCTCCCCTATTTCTCATTCAGAATAGGAGACAACGTATTGAGCAGTAACAGCTTTTCCGATTCTTATATCTTCCCAAGCAAGTAGATATCATACTGTTTTCAGACCCAAGCGCAGGGATCGCGCAGAAATGGAACTCTTCTCACCTCAGGCGGTGCCAACATAAGAAAAAGGGGACGACAAAGGATCTATGAAGCTGTTAACGCTGTTACGGAGAATTTTATATGGGAGTCTCAGCTTTCAATACCTCAAACCTCCAAAAATACCTTTAACAATCCCAAACTATAGCGGAATAAAGAATATCAAGAAGTCAGTAGACAGCAGCAACAACAAAAAAGTGTTATATTTTTCACTAATACTCAACTTCAACACATTTCATTGCTTGTAAGAAAGCCAAAGCAAAAGTTCGAAGAGTCTGTAAACAGAGCATGGATTTCTTAAGTATCAAGGATCACATCAAGCAAGCAAAGCAATTAAGTTTGCGAACGAGTATTAAGGATTCGTGAAAGTCACTCATTATCCATTCTTGAAAAGAATAATCGCGTTGTTAGTAGCAGAGAGGACATTGCAAACAATTTAGATGAAGAATTTGCTGCCGCGTGAAGTGCTGGTAGTTATACTTCAGCCATTCCGTCTTACAAGTTGCTGTGTGCAAAAGTTTTAATTGTTCCTCAATCTGATGCTTATAACTGGGATCTCTAAAAAAATTAGCCAAGGAGAAAACTGTTGCGGGCCAACAAATCAAACCTAGGTCCTGACGGAATCAGTTATATGGTAATTAGACATCCGTCATAGGAATCTTCAGCTACTCCTCTCTCTATAATAGAATATGAAGAGAGAAGACATTTACAACCGCCTTGGGAAATGTTCTCGTTATACCAGTTGTTAAACCAGTTAAAAAGCCAAAGGATCCGTCCAGTTTAACTAGTTGCTCACATAAAATGCCAAGAAAATTATTTATACACGCTTAGTCTATTATCTGAAAAAAAAAAAAAAAAAAAAAAAAAAAAACAGCTTTATTTATTTATGTCTGAATGGCTTCAGTAAAGGACGATCAACTATGGACAATTTTCTCCTTTTGGTGACATCCATCCGTGAAGCCTTTCATAAAAAGAATCATTTTGTATCAGCACCACGCGATACTGAAAAGACATTTGATAAGCCTGGGAAATATGGTATACTCCGTAACCTTTATGGTAGTGGAATACGGAGTATACTGGTGTTTCCACAAAAACCTGTTGAAGGCTAAATCCTTTAACATTAGGGCAAATTCAGTATTTTCTGAGGACTTTTATTCAGTAATTAACAACAAGAAAGTGTACCTCAATAAAGTGTGCTGAGTATCACTCGTTTTAGTTCGAAAATTAATTATGAACTAGAATACCCTCCTCTATGAAAAGTGCTTTTTTGTTGTTGACCTGTATATAAATCGACAAGGCAATGTTATACGAAAATTTGAAATTTTCCATCAATAGCATTGTTAAATGGTCGAGTATAAATGGTTTCAGATTTTCCTACCAAAAAACTGTTTGTTTGCATTTCTGCTATAGATGAGGCAGCCATCCAAAACTAGAGCTCAATTTGGATAGATCTCTGGTTAAATGTTCCAAGAACATCAACATAAGTATTTTAATTATACTCCAATTTACACTGACGAATCGAAGCCGGATGACCGGGATTCTCTTCTAAAAGCAGAATACATGGAATAAGGAAGCTTTTGCTTATAATTAAGATTACAAATAACAATCTTAATTATAACCAGAAACTTCATTTTCCCATATATTTATTTATTAGCTAAATATATGGAAAAGCCATGTATTTACTATATAAAGTTTTAAGTTCTATCATGTTAGATACAAGCATTTAGATGCACAAGCTTTATTGTAGTAAGCTGGCATTATATTTTGGGCTATCAGTGGTCAAAATATATTTCGGAAAGTTATACGGTGATAGAGTTAACCCATGATTTGAATTTAATTTTTGTGGACCTGATGTTTGGTCTATTTTATATTCAATATAAAATGGTAACAAACCAAAGCACTTTTGGGCATTATAATCCGCTGAAACAAGCTGTAGGCAACCGCTTTCAGTTTCATCAGCAGATAACTTCCTTATAAGTAGAGTTTATAGACTTTAGAACAAATTTATATGGAAGAGTTGAACCCGTATGGGCTTTAAAGGGATTTATTACAGTAGAAACCAAAGTAAAAGCTACAATTCAGGTTAATGGGAAACACTTAGAAAAACACTAATGCGAGGTTTTGTGAGTAAGTTAAGTTTGCATGATTAGTTACGTCATTTTATTACTCACCTCCTACAATAAAGCTTAACGTTAGAGCACATTATATGCTATACTGTGAAAACGCAGCACTTTTTAAAACAAAGTAATGTAATTCGTTCTTTAATTCGGCTGGATAATTTGTAATAAAAATATCTCTAAACATTTTCTTTGAGTCGACGGAATTGCAGAATGACAAATAAGCATTCAAAGTACCTAATTGTAGAAGGATAATAGAGTAAATCAGTTAGTTAGTATTCAAGTAATTTTCTTGCTCATTAAGTTGACATTATGTTACGTAAAACAAAATAAAACAGCTACCCTGAATCGAAAATGGCTATGAAAAATCATTAATGGGAATCAAACAGTCGGCCTAATAGCACCAAGAATGAAAGCAACATCAAAAACGTAAAGTTTTAAAATTATCGTAGATAATATTAACACAGTTTTATTACTTTAAATATGATATTTTAAAACTTTTTCCCTGAAGCATTTCAAAGTCTAAAATTAATAATCATAATTTTTTAAAATGGAATTTTAACTTCATGTTGGTGCCTCTTCTAATAGTTGCTTACCTGAGGTAAGTGTCCATGTGTAACGCGTATACGAGCCAGTTTCCCTTAGAAAGTCCTCCACGAAGGCATCCCTCCCTTTGGGCAGATAGCCCTCGTGTGCTTTGCCATAATTAAATAATCCAATCCAATCCAATCCAATTCTGAGGTAAGTGCGTTATTTGCCTCAGCTTGTCTCGGCTTTGTTCATCGCATTAATGATATAAAATAATACTTGTTGCAAAATATTAAAAGGTATTAAGAAAATAAATTTTAAGTCATTCACTTTCTTGTACTGATTAGCAATGCCTTTAAATACAATATGCATCACATATAGGCAGCAACGTGCTATCTTACTTCTGTAACTTGTTCTCGCTTTAGGTTTGGTTTATTAGATTACGGCAAAGCACTCGAGGGCTATTTGCCTTAAGGGACGGATGCCTTCGTGGAGGACGTTTTAAGGGAAACTGGCTCGTATACACGTTACACATGAGGAAAACCACGAAAACACCCATTCAGCCAGCCCGTTCGCGGGATTCGAACTTCGGACCGAACTACCAGTGTTCAGCGACGTTACCGCTCGGCCACTGGTGGGCTGTAAGGAAAAAGATTTAAAGTAGGAAGAAGACAATCATACATTGCGAAGACTTTGAACAAACTTTATCGATGTGGAGGGTGATTGCGTATAGAAGACTCTTTATCAAAAACTTCCCTTTCCTCCCCCAAAAAAAAAAATATAAAAATTTTTTCAGGATGACAAAAGTTTTTGAAACATCTTTTTCTCTCAAAAGAAGGGAACTTTACGAAATTATTTTTGAAGCTGATGAACTTTTATTCAAAATTTGTACCAATATACGGTTTATTTGGTGCCTAATTTTAAATTTTACAAGTTTCTCTTCCGTTCAGTGAGTGGAAATAATGGAAGGTCCCCTGTTTTGTACTCCTAAAGATACCATTAAATATTACGAATTTCGTGGCATTCACATTCCACTGAAAATAATGCTGCAAAGAACATATTCAATAAAACTAAAGGCAAGAATAGTTGTTGCGATACGAGTTTATTTGCCTCGATCCGAAAGTAACAGATGCCATAAATCACACAGAGAGCTTTCTACTAAAACCTCCATGCTATTTATTGCATTTTCTTATGTAGCGTGGGAGGGAAGAATAATATGCAAATTGCGCCATTTCACCTAGTGTTCAAATTAACGAAAAAAGGCTTAGTAAGCTGAGCGACCTGTGAGAGTCTTCAGTAGCCTTCATATCTACCACCGCGTGAAGTACACTCTTCCTATTAACCTCATCGCTTATATTCTAGTTATTTTAAGAATTGTTTCAAAATGTATTGCGCTCTGGTTTTACTCATTACGGCTGCGATCTTCGTTGGTAAGTAGGAAATCCATTTTTTTTTCCAAATTTTATGTTTTGCAAAAACTCTGTATAGGCTTATCTTAACGTTTAACATGCGGCATATTTCATATAAAAACTTACGCTTGTCGTTTGTACTGAAGGATTGCTATATAAGTTTAACCTGGAATTAAATGCAATTAATGTATAATAATAATCTGCTGAAGTTATCAGAATATATAGTTTGAAGAAATAAAAGATGTACGAATTGAATTTCGTCCATGAAGTGTTTAAAAAAATAGGGAACTATTAAAGCAGTGCGTCTTTCCTGGGAGGATGGAGGTGTATCCCTAAACATTTTATGAATCTAACCGAAGAAAGAAGAAATTTTAAAAATGTTTGAAGTCTCAGTATGTTAAGTACAGATGTATTAATGAATATTTAAGAGATTTAATAAGTGTAGCGAACTTTGGCAGCAAACATATTCAGTTACATTAAAACTCACTGAGCATCGCTCCAAAATGGTACATCGGAGCAGCGAAGATGGCACCGAGATCACTGACATATTCTATGCTCGTTGGGGGTCAGATAAATGCAAACAAATCTTCTCTAACCCATTTGAAGTGCTAATAGTTGGAGCTGTCTAGGACGATGACTGATCAGTCTTGTTTGTATCCTCCGATGGCGAAAACTAATTTGTGTATTTGTGCATGTTTTACCCAAACAGTGGGAAGAGTTTGCTTATACCAAAAATGGCTATTTGTGCGCACGTCCTCACGAATAAGTCTTTTATTAATTCATTAAAAATCCAGTTTATAACGTCTTTAGAATCTTTTATAATTATTTCCTAATTTTCTATAAACTAGATTAGGGATCTCTTTTAGAATTCTGTAAAATTTTAGACGTAGTTTCTGTAGAGATTAGTATAAAAACGTGTGTAGATTTTCTAAAGGTCTCGTTTATAAGCTCGTACATAATATCTACAGAATCATCGAAAAGAATTCCCTTGTAAATATGAGACCCAGTTCATAGAAAATTAGGCCATAAATTTAGAGATTTAGGTAGGTAAGATTCAAGAAATTAGATATAGAAGTTTCCTTGTTTTAAATTCCATAAAAGGTTTTATAGAAGTTATTAAGTATTTAGAAGTATTAGAAAATGAATAAAAGTTTCCCTTGGGATTAAATTAATTTATCTGTATACAGAATAATAAGACGTATTTTTTTATAGAAACATAAATGAAATATGCATATTGTGATTTTATATCCCATGATTTATGTAACGCAATAAAATTAAGCAGTATTTTTCAAGAAAATTTCTATTTTATTGATTTACAAAGCTCAAAATTTCATTGAGTCACTAATCGAACTGCTATCGTTTTTATTGATAGAGGCTCACCTTCATAGAATGCTTAAACTATCATAATACATGTATCTTACTAATATTTCATATAAAAATATAATATTTTTGCGCTGTTTCTCCTTATTGTTCTATGAAACTTATCAATTTATTATACGTAACATTTTCTGCAGAACGAATACATCCATGTATTAGTATGTTCAAATTGAAATGTAAAACTAAATCTAGGTATTCAATAGCCAAAGGCTATGCAAAGTAAATTAATCGCGAAGTTTGCTCTAAGACTTTCACCGGCGTGAAATAATTATCGGTAAGTATAATGGAGGTCGAAGACAGGAATCCTTATCTTAGTATAGTAATCCTAACAACGCGTCCTTCAACAAGCACAACACAATCTGACTTCGCAATCTCAAACTTCCACTTAAATACATGAAAGCTAATTTCTATTTTGGAGGGAAAACGGAAAGAGGGAAGTGACAGTAAAGATTCAGAACATGAAATAACTGGTTCAACAAATTAAATAAAATTTACAACTTATATACTCGCACGCTTAAAAACCATTAAATTTCAAAATATTCTGAGATTTAATGCATAACTTCAACTGAATTTACACCACGCAAATCTACGTACTGTTCTGAATTTATTTCATTACCCAGAAAATTTTAAGAAATTTCATTTGAAATTTTATTAATTTCTTCAACGAAATATTAAAAATATTCATGGATTAGATATTGACACTCTAACGCATTCGAAACAAGATAATATATTTCTTTCTAATTGGATAAGGTAATTTATTAGTAACACGTTGAATTGTCTAATTAGTAAGTTACTTAAATTCTAATTAGCCAAGTAATTTACTTCAGTTTTGTAAGCAAACATACCTGTTGAAACTAAATTTTGCCATCTGTTGGTAAAAATGTGAAACACCAGTTGTTGATGTATCAATTTTGCCATTGAAAACTCATTAGAAATATGTTTTAATATATTTTTGTTGTCTAAATTCATTAAATATATCCTTTTATAGCTTCCTTTGACGCCACTCTAGATTCTGTACTTGAAGAAATGAAGAGCCCACTCAATATTAGTTCTAAGCATATATCAGAAATGGCTCATAATTCTTCTATAGGATTAATTCAAGGGATAGATTTCTTCTCAGGAGGCATAATAAACATAAGTGCAATCTTAGCCAATGATACTCGTAAATTTCCTTTCGACTTCAAAACAGAAGTTACATCTAATTCAGGTAGGTTCATGTTTCTTTAGTTTCAGTCACTCAAATTATCGTCTTTATGTTCTTAATAATATGGAATTTATAAATTCCAAAGTAAGACATGTGTGTTCTTATATTAAAAATTAAAAAACTTGCTAAGCATTAATAACAATGGCGATTGAAATTCTTTTTATACTGCTTAACCCTTTCCGGCACGCTACCTTTTAAAGTTGGAGTTTTGATAAAAAAAAAGTAGGCAGTCTAATTAGGCCTAAGTAAAATTTTGTGAAGATAGCACTTATCGTTTACTTCTGTGGGTGTGCCCACTTTGAGCAGACTGATTGAATAGAACTTTGAAAAGAGTGCTGAAACTAGCATTGCTGTCAATGAACTGACCGATGAGATGCGGAGAAACAAAGAATACAAACTCTCAGTTGTTCTAGATTATCGGTGAGCCCGGTCCGGGTACACCTAGGATTCGCCGTTAGATTTTAGGCAAGATTTAAAGGTAAAAATTTAAAACTAATATAGAATAAGGAGATTAGCATACAGCCAAAACAATAACACAGAAATTTCTTTTCAAACAATTCCTTTTATACCCTAAAAAATATGGAAGATTTCTTTGAAAAATGAGGGTCTTAGAAAACTAAACGTGGCTAAAATATATGGACTGGTTTGTGTAGCTGCCATCTACTATAAATAAAGAAGGTTCAGAGTAACCTATAAATTCTTTTTCATTCAATTTTTCTGTGCGTACAGTAGGAAATCTCTTTAGGTGTGTCCAGACCAACGACTTCTTATAACAGGTAGACGGCTCACCCACAGAGAATTCGTCTGCTAGGATGTCTCCAACATATATCACGTGACTAATGCTCTTGGCGCTCTTGGGGAGTGATAGCTTAGACTGTTCATCGCCAGTTTGGTCCGCTTTTGATATGGCAAGTAGTGCTTTTTATTTCCGTCTCCTAGCAGTCAGCAGACAACGACCTCGAATTAGGTTGTTCGATTTTTTACAATTATATTTAGATATAACTTAACCCCTTTTTTCCTGAATATTTTATCTATATTTTTAATAATCGCTTTAAATTATTTGCACCATTGTTTAAGATGTTTAGGTTAAATAATTTTAGGAAGAAAATCTAAAATAAATAATAAAAAATGAGATGGAAACTTTAATTTGAATAACGTTAAAAAATTAATTGCACTACTGTTATAATATTTGAGAAGGTAAAAAAATCTCGTTTAATTTTAATGCATTGCATCCTAAAGAGACAAAGAAAATCACATTGTATTACATGTATTTATGCCATTGATGAAATATATACTTACAGACTGTTGACTTTCAGCTGGAACTATAAACTATTACTGTCCAAACTTAATATAGTTTATGATACAAAAAGATAAATTATACTGAATTAATTAATTAAAATTATGTTTACTTAAATATATGAAAGTAAAATATTAAAGAAAAATATTTTACTTTCATATATTTAAGTAAACATAATTTTAATTAATTTAAAGTCAGAAATAGTTTTTGGAAGAATTTCATTTACTTTTGACCTCTCGGTGTTAGCAATAGTACTTGCATTATGGAAATGTAGGATAGTAAAGAATTTTTTATTTTTAAAAAGATCTTTATTAAGTAATTGATTATGCCCATTTTATTCAGTTACTTGCATATTAAAGTGCTTATAAATTCAGCAATGTCCAGAAAATAATTTCATGCAAACTTGGAAGCTACTGCCTTAACTGTACATTAAATTTAGTAAGATTTCATATTTTGCAGATCAGCTGTAAAATGTACATTTTCAAAATAAAATTTTCTTTCTGAATTATAAATTCAAACATGACAATACATATTCTATTTTATTCCTGTATCCCAATTAAATAAACACATTATGAAAATGTGCATTTAAATATAGTATTTACTATAAAGTAAGTGGCTTAATTACAAATAAACACTCAAAAATTAAGTAAAACAAAAATATACTACTTATCATGAACACTAATCTTTTAAACGTGAGCAGAACGCACGTTTTGAATAAAAAGTTTTCGCTCTTCACCAGCTGCAAAGGATCCAACTTGCATCTGATGAAGAAATAAAGCTTTTCGATTGAAAAGCATGTCCTGCTCATATTTTAAAAGTTTGGTGTTCATACAAAGTAGTATATTTTTATTTTAAGTGGATTAATGCTTTATTTTATTTATTAAAATTATTTATTCTAAAGTATATCAAGAACAAGTACTAAAAATCACCTACTCAAAATGGTAGTCAAGTATATTCCAAATTTCTTATTTTTGATATGTGAATAAGTAATGAGCTTTTTAAAACAAAAACACACAATTTGGCCAAAATATAGAAACTAGTTATTGTTATATACTACATGAATAACTTTATGAAATACAATAATGCAATATAATATGAAATACAATAATAATAACCTCTTTTTTCCTGAATATTTTATCTATATTTTTAATAATCGCTTTAAATTATTTGCACCGTTGTTTGTTGCACCCTATATATGGCTCTGATATGAAAAATTTGACTTATCAAACTTTTTTTATTTATTATTATTATTTTTGGAGATGGTATATATTTTTAAAAAATTAGCTTGTCGAACCATTGAAATCTTTATAGATATATAAAGAATGTGATATTTACTTTTAAAAAATGAATACATAAAACAATGTAAATAAAATACAAACTACAAATTAAAAATACATGCTTTTATTTTTAAAAATACAGGACTTGAATAAAACTTAAAATATTATTGTCCCTTAAAAAGTGTAATTTTTGTGTTAACACTACGTACGTTTTTGTTCTGAAGTTTTTCTGTTTCAACTTTACCTGCATAGTACAGTCGTATTTTCAGGTATTCAAACAGAATGGCTTTTATCAAAGAACTTCTATGGTTATCTAAAGGCTCATGATTTAAAATATGTTCATGCATGCCTAAAAATATATTTGGAGAGTTTTCTATTATACATTTAACACTATCTGAAATTAATGAAGCCATAATGTTTTTTTGTTTAAGTTTTCCAGAAGCTTGGGTGGTTCGAAAAGATTTCTCAGCTGCTCTACATATCTTCACAACACTACCAGATGGAACTATTAATCCTCCCCTATTTTTTCTACCTAATAATTTACTTTGTGTATAATCAACTGTTAAACCAACATCAGACAGAGAATATATACAAGTATCACATTTTAATGCATTTTTCAATTTTTTAACAACACTACCAGCAATGTATGCAACAACATCACTAACAAAGTCTGAGAATTGTTTACAGCTTGTTAATGCAAAAGAATGATCTTCAGTAACACAATTCTCAGAAAAATTAAAATCACCTTTAAAGGTATCTGTGGAGTTGAAATTGATTGACTTCAAGTACATATTAGTGGAACTGCTCACATTTAAAATATTTGTATCGTCTAAAACGATGCAATTTGCACTACCTGATGTCATTATGTGATGGTGCATCAGTAAGCGAACATATGCTGCTTTAAATTGTTTTGCAGTAGGGTTGTTGTTGTGACCACCTTTTGTGCGTATGGCACTGAAAAATAACTCAAGGTGGTCCTGTGATAATTTGTATGTCAGGAAAAAGTTTAATGGGTGAGGTGAAATTTCACACAGCTCAATATATAACGATTTAATACTATTGATGCAAACTAAAAATCCTAAAAATCCTGTTTTCCTGTTGCTATGCAATATGTATTCTCCAATTTTACTTGTTCTTAAGTTTTTTATGTATTCTTGTGCTGTATTTAAGAAATTTAATATAGTATCTTTATTTTGGGGCTTAATTGGAGATTTAAAATCTTTACTTAATAGGTTTTTGCTGTTTAAGATGTCAAAAAGGCTATTGAATATTTTTAAAAATTTTATGGTTGGAGCACAGCCAATGAATGTGGGGTGTTTTAAATCGTTTTCTAAATATAAAAGAGCATCAGCAACACTATTACTGAGAACCTGGGCTGCAAGTTTAACCTTCATTTTTTTCACGATACCATTCTATGTGCCGTGCCCGTAACTTTGTTGCAGCATGAAGGCCTTGCTCCTTTTGAAATTTTTCTAAATTGATTATATGCTCCCACAAAATGAAGCCACTGTCACCATCAACAATGGATCCTTTTGATGCCAAGCAATTTCTAACAAGCTTCAACATATGGCAAGGATCCATTATGACATACACATTGTCTCCGGTGGCAGGGTGTGGAAAATAATTGATTAAATTATTGCTTTGTAAATTTGCACCTAATGCATTTGCAGTTGCAATATTGCTACTGCAACCATCAAATGTCAAACTTATAATTCTAATGCCAGTCTCTTGAAGATAATGAAGGGCCTCATTAATAAGATTGGCTCTTTCTAGAGCATTTAACCCATTTATCAAAAAATACGAAACTGGAACCTTCCAGCTTCCATTAATGGCATTCACCATGAAAACTAAAGCCTCTTTTGCATGAGGCAGCTCATCATCATCTATGTCAGTACCTAAGTCAACATATCCAGTAAAACGAGTTCTATCCCATTCAATATGTTGTCGTATTGCCATTTCATCGACAATAAGAGCTCCATAAATGGTTTTGTTTATCTTTAAAGCTTCTTCTGCTTTAAGTTTCAATGATTGTAGGGCTTCCTTCGTAAATCCAGGAGAACCACTAACTTTACCATACCACCTTCTTAAAGTAGAAGGATGGGGAAGACTGTCGTTGAACATTTGTCTGACATAATTATATGCTTTTGCCGAATAAAAATTTAAAGTCATGGCAAATGTTCGGAGGTCTTCTGAATATTCAGCTCTTGAATTACTACATTCAAGTCTTTCTATGAAGTCCCCTGCAGCTCCAGACAACTAGAGGAAGGGAGCAAAAAAATTAAGATTTTAATATAATATTAAACATAAAAATTTTAAATATAATATAATAAAACATAGATGAGTTTTAGCAATAACTTATAACATTTTTATGTAATGGTCACCTCAAAAATATTTAAAAAAACCTACAGATGCAATATTTTCATGACACT